AGCCCAGACGATCGTCACCCACCGGGGGGCATTCCGTTGCCGCCGGTTGCAGTTCGGGGTGAGTGTGGCTCCTGGCATCTTCCAAAGCCTTATGGAGCGTCTCCTGCAAGGGCTTCCGGGCGTGGTACCATATTTTGATGACGTCTTGGTGTCTGCAGACTCACACCAGCAGCTGTTCGAGCGCCTCCGTGCCGTGCTGACCAGGTTCCAGGAGGCCGGGCTCAAGGTAAAGAGGGAGAAGTGCCAGATCGCCCTTCCACAGGTAGAGTTCCTGGGCTATCTTATCGATGCCTCCGGTCTTCATCCAACCACATCCAAGATCCGCGCTATCCAGCAGGCCCCCACTCCAAAGAACAAAACGGAGTTGCAGGCGTTCCTGGGGCTGCTGAACTTTTATAACATGTTCCTGCCCCACAAAGCCACAGTGGCTGAGCCTCTTCACCGACTCCTTAGCACTAAGACGCCTTGGGCCTGGGGTCATCGGGAGACGGCGGCCTTCAAGGCTCTCCTTTCTTCAGACAGTGTGCTGGTACAGTACAGTGAATCCAGGCCGCTGGTCCTTGCCTGCGACGCCTCACCTTTTGGCATCGGTGCTGTCCTTAGTCACCGTTTTCCAGATGGAAGAGAAGCACCGCTCGCCTACTTTTCCAGGACACTATCTCCGACAGAACGGAATTACAGCCAGCTCGACAAGGAGGCATTGGCACTTGTGGCTGGAGTGAAGAGGTTCCATGAATACCTCTATGGCAGGACTTTTGACCTCATCACTGACCACAAGCCACTCCTGGGCCTCCTCGCCGGTGATCGTCCAACTCCACCGGTCCTCTCACCACGCATGCTGCGATGGACTGTTTTCCTGGCTGCCTACCACTACCGGCTCATCCATCGCCCGGGGAAATCGATGGGCCATGCCGACGCCCTCAGCCGTTGCCCTCTTCCAGCATTTGTGGAAGACCCGGCTCCAGCTTCATCGCTCCTTCTGATTGAGGATCTTCCGGCAGCGCCTGTATCGGCTGCCACTGTGGCCTCCGCATCTGCCCAGGATCGCACCATCAGCCGGGTGCTCAACTGGGTGTGGAGGGGGTGGCCACAAGGGCCTTTTGCATCGGAGTTCCAGCCCTTCGCAACCAGACAACATGAACTCTCAGCTCATCGCGGCTGCCTGCTGTGGGGAGACCGCGTCGTGATTCCCCAGGGACTCCGTCAGCGCGTCCTGGAGGCTCTGCACGTTGGCCACCCGGGAATTGTCAAAATGAAGGCGTTGGCTCGGTGTTACGTCTGGTGGCCTAATATGGACGATGCCATCACTGCCTGGGTGTCCGCCTGTCAAGCGTGCCAGGAGTCGAGGCCTGCACCACCGGCAGCTAAGGGACACACCTGGGAGACGCCAAAGACACCCTGGTCGAGGGTGCACATCGATCTGGCTGGCCCCTTTCACGGCCGGACCTTTATGGTAGTGGTGGACGCCTATTCCAAATGGCTGGAGGTCGCCCTGATGCCCTCCACCACTACCGAAGCTGTCATCCGGGTGCTGCGAGGCCTGTTTGCAACGCATGGGTGTCCTGATGTCCTTGTCTCTGACAACGGACCGCAGTTCACGTCAGGCACGTTTGAGCGGTATCTTTTGGGACTGGGCATCCGCCATGCCCTAACGGCACCCTTTCATCCATCCAGCAACGGGCAAGCGGAAAGAATGGTGCGCTCGACAAAAGAGGCACTGGCGCGCCTGGACCGGGGAGACTGGCATGAGCGGGTCGCCGAATACTTGTTCGCGCAACACATCACCCCTCATGCGGCCACAGGGAGGAGTCCTGCGGAACTGCTTATGTGCCGCCGCCTCAGGTCACCGCTCGACCGGCTACACCCAGACTTTGTCGTGGCTGAACCCCCAGGCTGTGCCAACGCACCACGGTCATTCGTCCCGGGAAACCAGGTCTTTGCCCGGAACTATGTGGGGGACATCCCTTGGGTGCCAGCCACAGTAGTGGGAGTCACTGGACCTCGCTCGTACCAGGTGGCACTCGAAGACGGACGCTTGTGGCGACGGCACATAGACCAGCTTAGGCGCAGGGTTGGGGACTTGGACACTACCGAGGTGCCCCCAACTGCGCTTGAGGCTCCAGAAGAGACACGTACAGATGGCGAGGCCCCACCTACACCTCCCTCGCAAACTGCCAGCGTGGAGCCGAACCAAGCCGTTTCAGAACAGACTCAGACCACTCCACTTGCGGAGGCTCCACTCCTCAGCAGCGGATCCAGGGGAGTTGGTTCCAACGCCACCTAGGGTCGCACCACAGCCTCAGCGAGAACTGTGTGGCCCTCCGGACTTGGCTACCAGTCCCCGGCGGTCTGGCAGAGTTTCCAAGCGCCCAACTCATTTAAAGGACTATGTTGTTGGACAGGTATCACTGTTGGTCTAAGTATGGGAAATGTAACCGATATGCTTTTGTGCCTAATTGAACCATTACGCGTAGTGCTGTATATAAGGAAACCATTACGATTGTAACTAACGCCTTATCTCGGTGGGGAGGGGTGTTATGTAGTGTAGTTTCACCCTGGGCCAACAGGGGGATACTGTATATAGTTTTCACTCAGGTCTGTAGATAGTTTTCACTCAGGTCCGCGCCAGTTATTTTAGGCGGGAACTCTGGGCTGTTGTGGTTACAATGTTGACAGCCGGCTGCCTATAAATACAGGCCGGCTGAGCTGTTCGCAGTCAGTTCTATTCCAGCTTACCAGAATAAAGAGCTACTTGAAGAAATCGCTGTGCCGGCTGCTATGTCAACCCACGACTTAACAATTACATCCATCAAAACCTAATCACACTGCTGAATTTATCTTAATGCTGCCAACGTTTTCAAGTGTACACAATTTCCCCCCATATATTCAATAAACATTTTCCAATCTTCCTTAAACGTATGTTCTTCTTGTTCTCTTATTCTATATGTTAGGTCCACAAGCTATGCATATTCTGTCAGTTTAAGTTGCCATTCTTCTTTAGTTGGGACCTTGCTCATTTTCCAATTTTGAGCTAACCAAACACAGGCTGCAGTAATGGCATACATAAATAACCTTTCTGACACCTGGGAATTTCCGTCTGAATTATCGCAAAGAAAAAGGACTCTGGTTTTTTCAATTCATTGTGAATTATTTCCCAATACTCTTTCACCCTTTTACAGGTCCACCACATATGAAAGAACATTCTTTCGTACGTTCTACAGTAGTCTAGTTTCTACCCAGGTCACTAAGGCTGTGTTCACAACCCCTGCTATGAAACATAGTAAATCATCAAACCATCAATTCTAGCAGGCGGGGAGTCACCTTTATGGTATAATTTGGGTTTTGAATGATTAGCATTATTAATAGTATTATATTTTGGCGTTTTTATAATGAGGCTTTCATTGGATTATTGTAATTGAAAACTAAAACAATTATTTTTTAAAAAAAGGAATCCTTAAGCCACTCCTAATTCATCTCCAGTCAAGGTGTGAACTCCTCTGCCCAATCAACCCCCGCTGGCGTGTACCCAAACAGAAATGAATCTGACACTACTTAATGGGAACAGTTGAGACATAAGCACTGCAAAATGCACTGGAGAAAATAGCAACTTCACTGTGATCTAAGGCGGTAATGTGAACACTCTCCAAGAGGTACTTTGAGAGTTCAGTAAACACATTCCACCCAAGCAAAAACACTGGGGGCAAGAGGGAGGCATTGAAGTAGGCCTGGTAGGCGGATTTTGGTTAGGAAGGACATGGCCTGGAGAGATGAGGAAAGTTAAAATGGAAAAGCAATGTTCTGCAGTGCCCATAATATGCAGACTGGCCTGAAGTCAAACGTCTCTGGGACTCACTCTTAGAAATGCCAGAACTCAAGCTCTGTTGCTTTAAGCCAAAAAGGTCAGTCTTTTTTGCTTTAAGCCAAAAAGGTCAGTCTTTTTTGCTTTAAACCAAAAAGGTCAGTCTTTTTTACTTTAAGCCAAAAAGGTCAGTCTTTTTTACTTTAAGCCAAAAAGGTCAGTCTTTTTTGCACTGAGTCCTGTTTCCAACAGTGATTATTAGCTAGATGCCCACAAGCCAAGCATGATTTTTCAGCTATCCCTTATGCATTGTATGCCAGAAGAATCCGATATTCATACTGATCAGGGTGGATAAAAATCAATGATTTAAATATATATATATATATCAGATTTTTAAAATTTAAATTGGATTTTTAAAATAAAATGCTTTTGGAGGAAAAATCTTTCTATGGATAGTTTTCTATTTAAGTTACAGTATAGTCCAAAGGCTATTCATCCGGAAATAAGGATTTAAATTTTTAAATGTGTGCTAAAACTCAGTCTAAGTTTTTTTTTATTAAAAAAATATTGTTTAACCACATCAGTTAACAAACACGGATCCATATGCTATAATGCTATTGTTTTAGTTAAATAAATGGTTTAAATTGTTATTAAGGAAATGATTATTTTTCTCCTTCCGATAAAGTACAGCAGAAAAGTTGTCCAGATATAAACAGTTAACTTATTAAACCTCACAATAATTTCATAATTATCTATGTATGTCTAATAGTATAACCAAATAAGTAATTTTTGATATAACTGTGGGGAAAAACTAATCTGAAAATTTATTATTCCAAAAATGAAACCTTCATCTGGTTGTAAATATTAAGATTATACCAGCAAGAATGAATCTTTCTGTAAAAAAAAGAAAAGAAAAAAAGATTTAAATCAAGTCTTACTGACTAGTGATTCAGATCAAGTCTTACTGACTAGTGATTTAAATCCTAATTTAAATGAAATCCACCCTGGTACTGCTACTCAATACTTATTCTGAATGTGGAAATTCCTTCACAGCTAATAGCAGCTGACAAAGCCACTGGTTAATTAATTTGCTAAATGCCTGTCTGTCATATTGAGTCAGATAGAATGATAGAATTGGAAGGGACCGCAAGGGTAATTTGGTCCAACCCTGTGCAGTGCATATTCCAACCTGCCCAGATACCTTAAACTGGGTGAAGTGGTCCTTGGTGGCAGAGTTTTGCTGAAAATCTTGCTCTCTTTCACCTCCTTCCTGCCAGCCTTTTGCATCCTCTCGGCTGAGGAGGAGACCTGGTATAGGGGAACAGCAATATGGACTTAGCTTTAAAGACCGGCAGGCCTAAAAGCTGCTGACCTCCTCAGTCCCTTAGGTCAGTGAAGGAAATTCAACTCCATCCCATGTTTCACCTGGGAGAAATCGGTGGGGATGTAGAGGCAGAGCTGGAGTAATGTAGATGATGTGCTGGCACAACATCAAGTTGGCATGTCTCCTTCACCTACACCACCACCACCAGTACAACCCAGTTGGAGGAGAGACCAGAACAGAGTGGGACTCCAAACCTGAACGCCACACACCTTACATCTTTTGAACTTTGCACGCCGCTTTTTCAGAAAGAAGCCTTGGTAACACGGTCCTTTTGTAGGGAACACGGGGCTGTGCCTGATCATCTGCCTGTGAGAAACAGGAAATGTGGAAGGAGGGAAATAAATAAATAAATAAATAAATAATAATAATAATAATAATAATTTATAGCCCGCCCATCTGGCTGGGCTTCCCCAGCCACTCTGGGTGGCTTCCAACAAAATATTAAAATACCGTAATACATCAAACATTAAAAGCTTCCCTAAACAGGGCTGCCTTCAGATGTCTTCTAAAAGTCTGGTAGTTGTTGTTCTCTTTGACATCTGGTGAGAGGGCGTTCCACAGGGCGGGTGCCACTACTGAAAAGGCCCTCTGCCTGGTTCCCTGTAGCTTGGCTTCTAGCAATGAGGGAACCGCCAGAAGGCCCTCGGCGCTGGACCTCAGTGTCTGGGCAGAACGATGGGGGTGGAGACGCTCCTTCAGATATACTGGACTGAGGCCGTTTAGGGCTTTAAAGGTCAGCACCAACACTTTGAATTGTGCTCGGAAACGTACTGGGAAATAAACCACGGAGGTGGGGTTTGCCTTTAGGCTGCCCCCTGGATTTCTCTTTCTCTCAAAGGCCACAGAGGGCTTGCCTCAGGGCTGACACAGCTCAGGGTTCCAACCAAGCATATAACCAAGCTCAGTGAAGGTGAAGAAGAAGAAGAAGAAGAAGAAGAAGAAGAGGAGGAGGAGGAGGAGGAGGAGGAGGAGGAGTTTGGATTTGATATCCCGCTTTATCACTACCCAAAGGAGTCTCAAAGCGGCTAACATTCTCCTTTCCCTTCCTCCCCCACAACAAACACTCTGTGAGGTGAGTGAGGCTGAGAGACTTCACAGAAGTGTGACTGGCCCAAGGTCACCCAGCAGCTGCATGCGGAGAAGCGGAGACGCGAACCCGGTTCACCAGATTACGAGTCCACCGCTCTTAACCACTACACCACACTGGCTCCCAGGGCCGTGCCGTGTTTGACAGAAGGTCTCCCAGGCCTGAGAGATGGACTAGAGGACTTTGGGAGTGTTTTTAAAAAAGTGGCAGGACTTTGGAAACACATAGGCTGAAGCTGCCTGCACGCTAACCCATTTGCAGTGCAGAAAATACAGCTTCTCTCAATCCAGGATTTCTCGGTCCAGCACTTGAAATCCCTCCCTTTGGTTAGGTTACCCATTCCTTTTCCCCCCGGCACATGCTTCCAGGGGAATGAAGAAGGAAGTGATGGTTTGCCATCTTGATATACCCCCACCAACCCACTGGGCAGGTGTCAATACGCTTGCCAGGATCGCCTACATCTGCTTTCACATGGGCAAACAGCAGGGTAATGCAGAATCAATCCATGACAAGCTTCTGTTTTGGCAGTGAAAACAGTTTCTTGAGAAGCATACGGGCCAGTCTTGCCAGACTCTAGGGTTGTGCGCTCATCTCACTCTATAGCCCGGGGGGCCAGCGCTGTCCGCAGACACTTCCGGGTCACGTGGCCAGCGTGACAAGCTGCATCTGGCGAGCCAGTGCAGCACACGGAACGCCGTTTACCGTCCCCCTGGTAAGCGGTCCCTATTTATCTACTTGCACCCGGGGGTGCTTTCGAACTGCTAGGTTGGCAGGCGCTGGGACCGAACGACAGGAGCGCACCCCGCCGCGGGGATTCGAATCGCTGACCATGCGATCGGCAAGTCCTAGGCGCTGAGGTTTTACCCACAGCGCCACCCGCGTCCATATATATATATATATATATATGCTTTCGTAGATTTTCACGGGTACAGGAATGCAGGTTTTGGTGTCCTCGGGTGTCTTCCCGTGTAAAAGTTGGGGTGTCTAGGCGACGTTTCGAAGAAGCGTTTGAAGATGACGAGTGAGACCTCGTCGAAACGTCGCCTAGACACCCCAACTTTTACACGGGAAGACACCCGAGGACACCAAAACCTGCATATATATATATATATATATATATATATGTGCACACACGCACTAGATCTAGATTGTGTATGGACTATGGTAGGGGGGGAAAGTGCCCTGTCTATGACTCAAGGTCCTGACACTGCCATTTGTTCCAATTCAGTGGTAAATTGCAGGTTTTCTCGGGGAAAGAGCTGGGACAGGAAGGAAGGGATTTTATCATTTATCATTTATCCCCCACCCATCTAGCCGGGCCTCCCCAGCCATTCTGGGAGGCTCCCAACAGAATTAATGATAATAATAAAAAAGCATCAGACATTAAAAACTTCCCTAAACAGGGCTGCCTTCAGATGTCTTCTAAAAGTCAGATAGTTGTTTGTTTCCTGGATATCTGATGGGATACCTAGAAGACCCTCTACCTTGGTCCCTGCCCTAAGGAAGGAAGGAAGGAAGGAAGGAAGGAAGGAAGGAAGGAAGGGAAAGGAGGAAAGAGAGAGGGGGGTGGGGAGGAAGGAAGGAAGGAAGGAAGGAAGGAAGGAAGGAAGGAAGGAAGGAAGGAAGGAAGGAAGGAAGGAAGGAAGGCAGGCAGGCTGCTTGGACACGGATCTGGAAATCCCAAGGCTTGTACCTAGAAGCACGGCACAAAAGGAAGTGTGGAGAAGCCCTCAGACCCAGAGGCTGCCTTCCACTCCAACTTGCTGTATCGACTTACTCAGTTGCGCTGAAGCAGCAGTGGGTGTGGTAGGAAAGCTTGCATTCTGCAGCGTGCTGGGTAGGTATGTGATCCCTCCATTCATCATCAGTCTTCCATAAGGAGAAAGGAAGCTCTTCTTCCTGCGAACTCTGCAGCTCGTCCCAATCTCCCTGCTTTAAGATTTTGAGTTTGCTAAAAAGGAAAGGGAAATCGAGACCCATCACAGATGTGATCGCTATGGTATAGTGGGATGGGAGGAGCTCAGGGATGACAACTCTTATAGCACAACTGGGTAACCTGTGCATAATGCAACCCCTCTAATATTGATGCGTAATCCATTAGAAGTTAGATAGAATCAATTCTCATGGGCTTTGAAAGACATAGTACATTGGACAGAAATTCCTTTCTACTAAGAGTGTTTGGCAATCGAAGGTTAAGGCCACAAAACTGAAAAGACAAGCCCCACGTAGCTGTTATGACCAAAGGGCGTTTGAAAAGTTCACCCAACATGAAAGACTCGACTTGGAGTCCGAAGGAAAGGAGGGAAGCCCAGGTGGCTCTCTTTCTACTGTGCGGTTGTTTCGCTTACCTGTCAAAGCCGCGCGAGGAGCGGTGAGCAGCTGTGCTCGGCTCCGTAGTAAGAGAGCTGGAAAGATCATCCTTCACATCTGTCGCAGTCTTTCCCCAGGACAGAGAGCTGCGATTCTGAGAATTCTCCTTCCCATCTTGGGACTGCAGCTCCGATGTCCCGGATGGTGTCACCAGCTCCTCATCACTCTGATCCTTCCGATCTTGAGATTTACTGTCTTCGGACAGCTCAGTAAGGTCTTGGGGTTTGCCTTCGCTCTGATCATTTGGGTCTTGGGACTTGCTGTCGTTTTCACTCAGATCATTTGGGTTTGGGGATTTGCTGCCACCTTCGCTCCGGTCATTCAGGGATTTGATGTCATCTTCCCCATGCTCAATTATATCTTGGGATTTGTTGTCCTCGGTGTGTTCACTTAGATTTTGAGTTTTGTTGTCCTCCGCTTGCTGGTTTAGATCTTGGGATTTGTTCTCCTCGGCTGGCTTGTTTAGATCTTGGGATTTGCTGCAATGGAAGGAAGAAATGATTCCAGACACAGACATGGATTACATTGTGTATGTACCATTCCTCTGGTTTTGCCGCCCCTCACTAGGGAACAGATTCCGCCAGCAGAATAGTTCTGCTCTATCTCAGCATGGGATATTATGGGTGTTAAGTTGTGGGTGAAAATATCAGACGACACAGCGATTCTTCAAACAGCTCTTGTTTATTCACAGGCCAGAACAGAACTGAACTGAAGGGTTCAGCCAGCCTGTTTATATAGAGCTCCACTAGAACGCAACAGTAACCATTTTCTGTGACTATCCAATCACTGAACGTCACTTTCGATCCCTTATTTGCATATGTGGACCTGAACTATCTACAGTATCCCCCTGCTGGCCCAGGGTGAGAACTTCAGTACATAACAACTGGGACTTTCAATCATCTGAAATATGAGAACGTAGTACATTGGATGCGGCCTGCAGTGGTGCAGTTGGGTAATTTGACGGTTTCGAAAGGTACATTTCATGTATTTTAAAAAGTCTCCTTTTGAATTAACACTACATTTCAGCTCTAGCCAACATATTCCATCCCTAAGAAGCTTTTCCATTGCTTTATGTTCCATTATGGGGTCAGTTTGAAACATGGTGCAGGTCTGAGGTCTATTTTTCAGCGCCAGGCAAAGATCAGCTCTGGAGCATGCAAGGACTAATAACACAAACCCGAGTACCTCTGACCATGTGAAGAGTACTGTTCCCTATTGAATAAACATTTGATAAACATCAGTTACTGTTGCAGTGGGGGATAAATAAGGACAATTTGGAGTTTAATATATAGCCCTTAAAAACATTGTTGAAATTGTTAACCGTGATAAAAATACAATCAAAGGCAAAAGAAAACCAATATTAAAGAGGCTGAAGTCACCTGCTCACAGGGCTGAGCGGGGCCTCCATTCTTCTGGGGTGGAAAGCGCAGCTCCTTCTACATCAGTGTTGTTGTGCAATGAATCCTAAATAACAACAATTTTTAAAGTAAGGCACAACGCAAAAGTGAAGATGCCCCTGGGTCTCTGGTGATGGAACCAGGACCAGTCCGTCCATGAGGCGGACTGAGGTAACTGCCTCAGGCAATAGAATCCAAGGGGCAGAGCCCCATGGGGGCCCTGCAGGCATGCCGCTGCCACCAGACAAGTGGGCAGAGGTTGTGGCAGTAGCTTCCGGGTTCTGGCAAGGTTTTGCCCTGCAAAACCTAGCAAGATCTGTTGGCTATTTGCAGATCAGTTGCGCTGCAGAAGGCGTGCTGGGGAGACCACACATTATAAGGAAGACAAAAATATCCTTTTGCTAGGTTTTAATAACAAAAACGCGGGGACGCGGGTGGCGCTGTGGCCTAGGACTTGCTGATCAGAAGGTTGGCGGTTCGAATCTCCGAACGGGTGAGCTCCCGTTGCTCGGTCCCTACTCCTGCCAACCTAGCAGTTTGAAAGCACGTCAAAGTGCAAGTAGATAAATAGGTACCATTCCGGTGGGAAGGTAAACGGCGTTTTCGTGCGCTGCTCTGGTTCGCCAGAAGCGGCTTAGTCATCCTGGCCACATGCCCCGGAAGCTGTACGCTGGCTCTCTCAGCCAATAAAGTGAGATGAGCGCCGCAACCCCAGAGTCGGCCATGACTGGACCTAATGGTCAGGGGTTCCTTTACTTTTACCTTTAATAACAAAAACAAAAACTCCTTTTACAATATATCAATAAACATGACCCAAACACCAACCCATCCACCAGGGTACTGAGAGAGCTAGGTGCTGCTCTTTATATACTATACCCAACAGCTTAATTAACATAACTTAACAGCACCTGCTATACTGCTTCACAGCTGTAAAACTAGGTCACGTTATTTGCTCTGGCCCTTAAAGAAATACACATCTTGTGGAACAATAATGAACCTTCACATTTAAAGAGACCATTCAACAAGATCTTCTGGGCCTCTTATGACAGCTCAACATAAACTGCCATTGCTTCCCACTTTATCTATAGGTGGCGGAACCCCCCATGCTCGCTGCCTTCAGAGAAGCAAGGGGAAGTGGCAGAGGCTTCCAGGTTCCTGCGAGATCTCACAGACCTCCCACAAGATGCTACCCAAACCCATAAGCCACCGCCGCCACCACTCAACCCTGGTAACCGAGTCTTGGGCAGGGGGTGGAAGCTTTCCATTTCACCTCAGGTGGCGCAACAGGATGGGCCGCCCTGGGATAGAACAGAAGCCATAATCCAGCTTTTGTTAGCAGCCAGCCCTTTGGCCGGAATGGCCGTCCCTAGTAGATTTCATTCATTCATTCATTCATTCATTCATTCATTTATTATATCAGCCTATACCCGGAGATCTCAGGGCAGTTCACAGAAAAGATCGCAATATTTTAAATCAAAATAAGAACTATAACCCAATAACACCCCCCCCGCAAAACAGCCACATTTTAAAAAGGTATAGGATAGCCATCAGATCAACCAAAGGCCTGGTTAAAAAGGAACATTTTTGCCTGGCGCCTAAAGGTGTATAATGAAGGCGCCAGGTGAACTTCCCTGGGGAGAGCATTCCACAGACGGGGAGCCACTGCAGAGAAGGCCCCGTTCTCGTGTTGCCACCCTCTGGACCTCTCAAGGAGGAGGCACACGAAGGAGGGCCTCAGAAGATGATCTCAGGGTCCGGGTAGGTTCATATGGAAAGAAGCGGTCCTGGAGCTATTGTGGTCCTGAGGCGTTTAAGGCTTTGTAGGTCAAAACCAGCACTTTGAATTGGGCCCAAAAACTAATTGTTAGGAAGTGCAGTCGCACCAGGATTGGTGTAATATGCTCAAACCATGTTGGTCCAGTGAGCAACCTGGCTGCTGAATTCTGCACTAGCTGAAGTTTCTGAACTGTCTTCAGAGGCAGCCCTACATATAACACATTACAGTAATCTAACCTTGAAGTTACCAGAGCATAGACAACAGTAGTTAGGCTATCCCTGTCCAGATAGGGGCGTAGCTGGGCCACCAGCCGAAGCTGATGGAAGGCACTCTGGGCCACAGAGGCCACTTGGGCCTTGAGTGACAGCAAAGGATCCAGGAGTATCCCCAGGGTGCGAATCTGCTCCTTCATAGATGCATACAGAAATACTTACACAAAATGCCTCTGTTGCTAATCCACTTGTCAAGAAGTTGCAGGGATTAGCAAACCTCTTGGAAATGACTGGGCAGCCAGAATGGAAAGAAAAGGATGTAGCACAGCCAGGATAGTCAACATGAGCAAGGGGAAGTTCTTCTGATCTTCTCCTGGCACCATGAAGAAGGTCTTAGGTTTGGTGCCGAGTAAAGGGATAGGAGGGCCAAGAGAGTTTGGTGGAATTGGCTCTCTGATGATGGATGTGCAGCCCCTCCTCCACACCAAGTTCTCTCCCACTACTTTGACCTCAACTGTTGCATGGAGAGGTTCCAATCTAGTGATGTCACAGAGTAAAAGGTGACCCATGTGGTAGAAAATAACATCCTGAGTTGGGAGGTGAAAGAGAGACTCAGCTACCTGATGTTGTTCTGAACCTGTAGCTATAGAATCATGGAGCCAGAAGGGTCTTTATGAGTTCCATATAACGCGTATACCCATTGAAGGCCAAGACAACAAGAACATCATGGATGATCGTCTAGATTCTGTTGGAAAACCTCCAAAGAGAAGACCTCATTGTGCTTTGGGAAAAGGGAAACAGGATCCATTGATTACCCATCTTCCGTGTTGCTTAACCATTTTACCTTGCCAAGGCAATCCCTTTTTCCTATTTAGAAATGCCATCACATTTCCTACCCTGAACCTCATCCCCCGCCTCTAGTGACCTAGACTTCTAGTTAAAAAGGTAAAGGGACCCCCTGACCATTAGGTCCACTCGCTAATAGGGCCTCCCGCTGCTGCGCTATTTCTGTTCTCATCCTGGGGCAATTTTGCAACCCGAGGTACTTCTGGGTTAGCAGTGTTTGTAACCCAAAGTGTTTGTAATCCGAGGTACCGCTGTACACCACCTACAATACCCCACCCTGAGGATCTTCCATGGGCAATATAATGTCACGCACCACCCCAATCTCCACAGCCTGCAAGATTACAGGGGTCCCAGGCATGCTGAACCCAGGGTCTGCGTGTCCTTTTCGACCGATGAATTTGTGGTGTCTTTAGATATACGGTTTATTTACAAACATATACAACCTGTAGCTACTGTGGAGGGCTTCTTCCAAAGGCAGCAGCATCCCTGTCGTTCAGATTGCCTACCCTCACCTGCATTCTCACACTTAGTTATTTGATGCCTTGTTGTGCTAAAAAAAAAAAGGTAAAGGAGCCCTGGACGGTTAAGTCCAGTCAAAGGCGACTATGGGGTTGCAGCACTCGTCTCACTTTCAGGCCGAGGGAACCGTCGTTTGTCCACAGACAGCTTTCTGGGTCATGTGGCCAGCATGACTAAACCACTCCTGGCGCAACAGAACACTGTGACAGAAACCAGGGCGCACAGAAACGCCATTTACCTTCCCGCCGCAGCAGTACCTATTTATCTACTTGTACTGGTGTGCTTTTGAACTGCTAGGTTGGCAGGAGCTGGGACAGAGCAACAGGAGCTCACTCCATCACGTGGATTTGAACTGCCAACCTTCTGATCAGCAAGCTCAAGAGGCTCCGTGGTTTAGACCACAGCGCCACCCACTCCTCCCTTCTGCTAATACCCCCAGGCTCTCAAAGGAAATTAGGTTGACTCCATTACCTTTGAAGCCATAATGATTTCAAAGGATTAAACTGGTCCAGCACACAGGGTCTGCCTTAATGAGTCTAATTAAAAGATTAAAGGGGACTATCAACATCTTAAATGCACATGAGTTAGGCTATTAGCTCAACAACACCAAACCTTAATTAAAATCCTAGCACCTATAAATCTATATAACAATACTCTAACTTCAGAGTCTACAGGGGTGGGCTTGTTTGCCACCAGAGCATCGATTCCTCCCTGGAATTGTCTTTTACTCTTGCTTCCTATCCCTAACTTCTTACTTTTCTTGTTG